AATTTGGCTTAGCCCGCAGCACACAGCACAGCTTCTACACTGGAAACATATTTGCAAGCGTCACATGAGATGGCAATTTGCACAGTTCAGCCTGTACTGCTCTGAAGAGGAGCAAATGTTCCAACTAAAATTTATTATGATAAAAATTATGTGTGAGCACAGAAATGAGCTGTTGTGTCTGTTGCTGTGCGCAGCCCAGTCTGATCTGTTCTGATACTGTCCCTTGCTTCCCCCTCCTCCCTCTCCCTCCTTGTCTTCCACTCTTCACCATTCAACAGGGCACAAAAGGTAACTGGAAAAGCCATGTGATTCTGTGTTTGGTCTGATAGTTGGTTTGTTGTTTCTTTGTGCACAGATTATATGAATCTGCAATGTAGGCATTTGTGCATGTGCACGAGCCCAGCAAACAAAACCTCTGACATCCACCACTTCATTTGACACCTAAGACAGTGGAGAACTCTGGTCAGGAGACTTTTGGGGTCCCCTGATGACTCCTGATTTAGAAGTGTGCCTGTGTGGTTTAGGGACATCCTTTTTACTGAGCATTCATGATGATTTGTGTTCATGAAGTTACCTGGGTGGTTATATATGATCAGAATACAGCTGCAAAAACAAACACACGCCAGTCTGGAGAGGCCCTTCCATTCTTCTCCAGAAGTATAGCAGCTACAAGCAGGTTATTAATGGCAATGAAATCTGAGAGTCCCCTGCAGAACAAGGTATTCTTTGAGATACGTTGAGGTGTACAGTGCTGCCACGTATCACTCTGGCTGATCCCTAGGCTGGCTTTGCAGGAACTCTGGAAGCTTGCCCAAGGTTTTTCTTGCAGTGAGAGCAAGGTAACGTCTGACGGCCAGCTCTGACCTTAGCACTGGAAATCCTATTTCCTCACCGATAAATCATTGTCTGCAGTGGAGGGGCAGGTCTGGGGAATAGCGCTGGGGGAAAGGGGGAACGGCGAGACGACGACAACAGAGCACTCTGAAAGGTTAAATAATTCCACTGTTTATTCAGTCAGACTCTGGCTCACCTTTCTCGAGGGGACGTTTGTATGGGTGGCTTTGCTTTCTCTGAGAAACCTATTGTGATGGCATTTTGTAGCCCTTCCTTTCCTTCCACCTTGCTCCTCGGAGGAAGAAAGAAAGAAAAAACGCCCTCTCTCTTCCTGGAGCTTCTGCTGCGCTCTCTCTCCCCAGCCCCGTCACAGACACAGATTATGCATTGTTCAGTGTTTGGAAATTTGACAGCCTGGGTATGTCTCCGCTTCCTGAGCTCATTAGTAAAGAGCAGCATGCTCCCTGGAAGAAGTGGCAGGAGCCCCCTCAGCATTGCATTGAATTTGGAGGCTGAGCAGTGCACTGCAGTGTGTGCCTGCAGCTCTCGCCAGTGGGAGAGGGAGAGATGTTTGTTTCTTTGTTTTGGAAAAAGAGGATGAGGGGCAGGATTTGAGGCTGGCGCTCCTTTTCTTCCCATCTCCCAGGTGCTCCCGTGTGGCTGCTCTTTCTTCATACCCAGAACACTGTAAATGCATAACCTGGGCTTCCACCTGGGCACAGCCCACAAATGCCCCTTTGTGTGTTTCACAGGAGTCTACCTGTTGTACTTCCTGCAGAGCTTCCAGCCGCAGGGACGTCCCTGACCCAGACAGTCTCTTCACCGAGGAGAGAGCGCCGGCTGTGAGCAGAAGCAAGGGTGGCTCCTTTGTCAAGCAACCCTGTCCTCGCTCAGGCCCAGCATAATGCCTGATTAATTCAGGCTACGCGAAGCTTAGCCCTCCATCCGTCCCCCTCGCACACTACCAGACTGCTGTCCCTTTAGTGCTGTTAGCAAAACAGGAGTAACAAGAAATCAGTTTAGTGGTTCAGTGTCAGATTGGGTGGGAGAGGGTAGGAAATATCCCCAAAGCAGCCAACAGGCTTGTGTTTTGTTTTGTGTCCGCCCCCCCCCGCCCCCCGCTCTTTCCATAAAGAGGGCCTCAAACCACCAGGGAATTCCTGGATTGTCTCAGGCTGTCGTGTGTGATGTCCATCATGTGTACGAACACCATCTGTTCGGTATTATACTCTCAGTTGCCAGGCTACCTGCTCTGTGCTGTAACACTTGACTGCCTAGCTCTGCGTTAGCAGCATTATCGCAGAAGTACTGAGGGGGATGGGGAGAGGAGGAGGAGGAGGAGGAGGGAACAGTAGTCATGATTAAGCCATCTGCAAGCATGGGGGAGGGTGGGGAAGGAGGAGGGAGAAAGAGGGAGAGGGAGAGGAGAGCAAGAGCCCAGGGCAGCAATCAGTCACCAACCCAGGTTGACAGAGCCGTGGAGGACCAGGCTTGGGACGCCACCTGCTGGTGTTCGGGAGGAACTGCAGCTAAGTGATTCTCACACACCTGCCGCCTCACCCCAAGGCTGCCTGGGGTGTTAGGACGTGGATGGATTTAGGAGGAGAGGTCAGATGTACCCCGACATCCCGTGCAGCTTGTAAGACCTCCACTCCAAGCTTTGGTAGATTTCACGGCTGCTCAGGGCCTTAATAGCTGCAACAGTTGGTTCTCAAGTTTTCACTTGGATCTTGCAGGGCAAAAACGGAGAGGATGGGAAGTAACAGAAAGTGGTTGGTTCCCTCCCCCCCGAAAAATACACATCCATCTGTCTAAATTTCCCTCTTCAGGGCTGCTCATAATTAAGTTCTAATCTCCTGGGGGTGTTCCTGGTGCATCTCTCCTGCATAACAATCACCATTGGTTACACCGGGAAGAGAAAGGCGATCAGCGCTGTGTTGACGGAACTGCTAATGAGATCCTTTCCAGGCCTCCTCTCTTAAGTCCTCTGGCCAAGCCCTGCAAAGGGACCAGCAGCATCGCAGGCAAACAGGCAGGAACGTGGTGTGCAGGGGGGGGGGCGGTGTTCACAAGAACATGTCCTTTAATTTGCAGTATAATTTGCACCGCCTTTCTCTCCTCTTACATTCACTCCTCCTCGGATTAAAGTTTAAAATAGCCCACTTTCAACTGGTCTCCTCTTAATCATCCTGATCGTGTGGACGCATGAGGGTATAAAAGCATGTTAATGGGCAATGAGCAGCAATGAAAGGATGTTACTACCTCCTCTTTAACCTGAAAAGTATCACGGTGGCGCCCTGCACTCAAACCCGACTCCCTGGCATTGGACTCCAGGTGCTGAATCTCTTTTCATCCACCTCACTTTGCCTGGGAGTTATAATGAGGTTACATGGGTTAGCATAGTGCAGAGGAACTGGGGCCACCTGACCCTGTTCAGTTGCCTCACCAGCAAGAAAATGTAAGCCCTAATTACTACTTTTGTTCCTTGCTTTTGCTGAATCCGTAACTCACGTTGCTTTGAATGACTGAGCTTGGCTTGAGGGGTCCTGGATTTTGTCCCCAGCTCTTTGTACCATTCCTCATATATCTTTTACCTCTTATATACTTCCTCAGATATGAGTTAATAACCTGCCAGGGTTACTGTTAGACTTGATCTGATTGCATACCATACAGTGTTAGAAGGAATACAATAAAGTGGCATTCTGTGCACCCAATGCTTGCCAAAAAAAAGGAAGAGTAAAACTGGATTTAGGCTTCTGCACCCAACAGTTCCTTAATCATCCACTTCCCTCCTCCTCTCCCACCTCCTGTGATTTTGGACCATGCCTCTCCTTGAACTTCATTTCTCTGTAAACTGCAAACTGCTCTATACATATTTACAGTCACTGAGGAATGGAGGAGAAATGAAGGTCGATTGGTGCTTTTAATGTGAAATTCCCTAATTCGAACTTCCTGAAACAATACACAGAATGAAATGCAGCTATCTTTCAGAATTCACACTTGCCTGAATTCTCCGATGCTGCTCTCCAACCAAATAATATGTAAAAGAATTTGTGTATTGGGGGAGGTACATGAAAATGCAGATATTCATGAAATGCCATCCAAAAATGCATTGTATTTGGGGAAATGGCTTGCAGAAGTGTGTATATGAGAATAATTTTTTACTAAAATGCTGGTGAATTTAAAATCAATCAATAAACTGATGCAGAAATGTGCAGGCCTGAACTCTAGAAAAAAGAGAAAGTAAGAGAAAGTAAAAATTGACAGATTCACCCATTCCTGCCTTTGCTGTAGCAAATGTCAACCTCTTGACTGTTTTCCCAAACCCTCACTGAAAACAGCTTACTATGTGGGTTGGACATCATACCACAAGTCTCTCCCTCCTGCCAGGAAACACCACTGATATAGTTCAAAAGCAGAAAAACTCACAATACTCATGTGGCGACTTGTTCTAAACAATACAGCAGGTGGTGGAAAACACGCCATAGGGATGCCGATCCCTGCAGCAAGTGTAACATCTAGACAGGCGTGGAGTCCTCCTTCCTGCAATTTGCAGCACCCCACATACTGTGCTGAGAAACTTTAGCTGGTGCAAAACGCTTCCACTGGGGCTGATTTGTTGGGTTGTGTGATTCAATTCTTCTAGCAGCTTCCCTGACTGGTTCCTGGCCCGTTTCTGACTCGGATTCAAAATTCAGCTTATTACCTTTAAAACCATGAATGGTTTGGGACTGGGATACCTTCCCCCAATGATCCTACTGGACTTTTCTTCTGCTCATTGAAGAAGGCCTTGTTCCATGCTGGCATTTGTGGGAGAAGGCCTACTCTGTAGTGGTACCCAGACTCTGGAAGCCCTCCTCCCTAGAAACTCAGTTGGTTCCCTCCCTGGTGGCCTTTAGATGCTACGTGGAAACTTTAATTCATTCTGGTGCATCTGATTGGTAATGACCTGTGTCTTTGCAAAATAAACAAATAACCAGCTGGTTGTCTCTCCCCCTCCCCTTTAAAATCTTGCTTTGTTTCTCAATTGTGATGTTTGTAAGGCACCTTGATGTTCCATTGCATGTGATGGAGGGGTGGGATATAAATACTGAGAATAAATGAAGATAAGTCTAATCACATACCCAATGATTCCTCACATGGCTTTTGTTTGTTTCCTTGTCCAGGACCAGCACGCAGTGGGACTGTCTCGGTCCACAGGTCCCATGCAGTCCTCGGTGCCACCAGGATCCAGTAACGTGGGCACAAGTTCGGTCAATGCCAGTTTCTTGGGTGGACAGCCTCAGGCTGCCCTTATGAAGCAGATGCTGATTGAGCAAAGGGCCCAGCTCCACATGATGGAACAGCAGAAGCAGCAGTTTCTACGAGAGCAGCGGCAACAGCAGCAGATCTTGGCAGAACAGGTACTGCACCCTTTCACTCCATACCTTAAGTCAGGCATAGGCAAACTTGGCCCTCCAGATGTTTTGGGGCTAGAACTGCCATGATCCCTAGCTAACAGGACCAGTGGTCAGGGATGATGGGAACTGTAGTCCCAAAACATCTGGAGAGCCGAGTTTGCCTATGCCTGCCTTAAGTGAACGTTCCCAGCCCTGGAACAGAGACGCAACTGGGGAGGCAACACAGCTTCCCTTTCCAACAACAATTGTAACCAAGCAGTGCAATCCATAAGGTTCATACAAGCACCCTGCAGCTTCTGTAATCTAGGCTTTCATTTGTCATGCATGTGTCAATTATGAGACAAGGGACTGACTGCCACAATAGTGCAATGACTTGCATATTGCTCTGAGCTCCGGCCTTTTCTTACATGGTGCCATCCAGATGTTTTGAACTACAACTCCCATCAGCCACAGCCCTTCTAGTCCAAAACGTCTGGAGGGCAACAGGCTTAGGGAGGCAGATCTAGAGAAGAACTCACTTCCCTCTGTGGACCACTGGTTCGTTCTCTCTGGCAGCTCTGGAAGAGTCATTTCATTCTTAGTTTGCTCTCTCCATTTTCTCTCCATCTCCATCACAAGGCTATTGTGAGGATAAACAAGATAAGGATTGCTAAACACTTTAAGGTGCAATATAAACGATAATGCTAATTACTGGTGTAATTGGGAGAGAAGGCAATTGCTTTGGTCCTTTAATGGCATGTTGCAGAGAAAAACGGAATGTATGCCTCTTAAGGATTCTCCATTCCTCTTCCTTATTTTATGGCTACCTAGAAAATAATTTTCTGCTGTTTCTATAAGGTGTTTGATTCAATCACAGAAGATCATTCTTAGCTTATTGGAACAGCATGGTTGTCACTTCATCTGTGACATGTCTCCACAAAGTTAAAGTTAGGATCTCATTGGATCGAAGAGAAAGGAAGAACCACACCAGTATTCTTTCTATAGCCTATATCATTCCTGTGCTCTCCCAATTCATTTTTTAATGCTGGTGTGCCGATTCCCATGTGTCAGCCCTACCATTAGGGAGAGTGAGGCAGCTGCCTCTGGCAGCTGATTTGGGATGTCATAAAAGAACACAAATGGTTAGTTGTTGATTTATAATTATTGCACTTTTACTCCCAGGGAGAGGTGCTTGGGGGGATTTTTCTGCCTCGGGTGCCAAAATTACTTAGCCAGCCTTGAGTATTCTGCATCTTGGCTGAGGGAGGCATTTGCTGTTCCGCTTCAAGCACCAAAATGTGTCCTGTGCTTCTCCATTCGCCCATTGTTAGAACACCCTAAGCATCATGCACAGAGAAATTAAGAAACAGCAGCAACCAGGCCACTCTCCTAATGTAAGAACCTAAACTTAAATAAAAACAAATCCTGATCACAGATGTTAAGCAAACTGTGCTATTGGCTAGGTGAAGGTGAAAAAAGCCTCCCAGTCAACAAGTGTTTTGGGGGGAATAGGATCCTTTTTCCACTCCCAAGTTTGTATTAAGTGAAAGCATCTTAGCGAAAAAGAAGCCTGTGGAACAGCATTTGCTTTTCATCTCTTTCTGTTTACTGCATGCTAATACATCAAACACTGGTCTTGCAGTTCTGGGGGATCTTCTGCGCTACGTTTAATTAATTAACTGATCAAATTGCCATATGGCTAGTTAGTAAAATCCCACAGAACTGCAAAGTGATGTTTCATATGCCGGGTGCAGTGGTGACTGGTGTAACTCCCTGCACAAGTAAGGCAGCATTTGTGAAGAAGCCACTCTATACACCTGCTGAGCTCAGGCGTATTATCAAGTGCACATCAGGGCCTGGTTTCCACACAAATCCCTGAAGTATGCCACAAGTGCATCTTTAGGCACTGTGAATGATTTTTCAGTAGCCTGATACCTCATTCGCAGTAATAGATGGAGAACAGCCTCACAGCAAGGATTTGAGAGCTAGTCACACTGCTGCACTGCCTGCATTTTTTTGTAATCAAGCAACAGCAACAAAATCTGCTTCTATCTGTACTCCTAAGCCGATGTTGTACAGCAGGAGAGTGCACAACCTATTAAGGAAGTGAGAAATGAATGAATAAATCCATACATTCAGCTGCTGGCACTTAGGCTGCAATCCAACCCCCTGCTTTTGTCCTTCCTCCCAGGTTTCTGGTTGTGGAGTGATGTCTGCATCGCTCCACTGCTGTTCAACTCTCTGTTTTGGCCACTGAAGGACAGGCAGAAGTAGAATCTCCACTGGCAGAAGCCCAGAGAAAGCCCCAAAATGAGGTGTTGTGGGGATGGCCCAGGATCCACTTGAACCTGAGCCACCTTCAATGCCGCTGCTTTATGGCATCAGGCATCAGCTCCAGACTAGCACAGTGATTTGCTTGCCCTGGCAGATATGAGCTGTGGCTGCAGCAGCAGTTCTGTCAGCCTTCGCTGGTGCTTGGGCCAGGAGTTGGATCATTTCAGTAGTTCTGACTTTTAGTCAGTGGTCTGCAGGGATTGAGTCTTGAGTCTTGCAAGATAATAATAAATTATATTTTTTTAAAATTTATATCCCACCCGTCTGGCTGGGTTTCCCCAGCCACTCTGGGCAGCTTACAACATTTATAAAAACACAACGAAACATCAAACATTAAAAAACAAAATATCCTATACAAGCAACAAACAAACCAGTAAATCAACAGAAACCAATAATAACAATAACACCAATAATAATAAACAGTTTACAGTTATACCCAAATTTAAATAACCACCAACTAAACATTTAACCAACACCAACCTGACAAAAACGAAACAGAGGAACCAAAATTAGAACCATTTAAAACATTTTAGTCAGTTGCCCCCCCCCCCAAGAGTTGCTCCAGCAATGTCCCAGGAGCCTCTTCTAGCTGTTAAAGGGGTGTCTGGGCCCCAACCCCTAGGCCAGGTGGAAATAGGCCTTGCAGCAGAGAGCAGGTCTTCTTTCCAGCACTCAGGGCAGCATCCTTCCTATCTCCCCTGCCCCCACCATGTAATCATTCTTATTCATTAAATAAGGATGTGATAGTGCTTGAACCTGCCCATCTTATCGAGAGAAGTCTAATGGAGGAAAGGTTGTAGTGGCATTGGTATAGCTTCCGCTTTCCCCCACGGCTTCTTCTCACGATGGTTCAGTAAGCTAGGTATGGAAGAACAGGGTGAGGTGAAATGGACAGAGCCACATATCCCATCTGTGTGGGGAACCTGTGTCCTTCTGGAAGTTGTTGCAGTCCAGCTCCCATGAGCTTCTGCCAGCTTCACCAGTGGTCAGGGCTGATGGGACCAGCATCCTCTGGAGGGTCAGAGGTTCCCTACCCCGGGACTAGAGGATGAATGGACTGTGTGATTTACCTCACCTGGTCCTCTCATTCCTAATTTACTGAACCTCCATGAAAAGAAGCCAAAGGAGAAAGCGTAAACCATACTCATGGTTGTTTTGATGGTTGCATTCTTCTCCCCACACCATCCCAGATCCCTCCCCTACATGGCTCTTCTGTTCCTCCGTTGTTGGAACTTCCAGGGCAGCAGCAACTGGGCTGCCCCAGCTCATAAGAACCAGCCCTGCAGGCTTAACTTAGATGCAGAAATACTAGATGGTCCCAGAGTTTGGTTCACGATTCTCAGCTAGGAGCGTTCCCTCCTCTCCTCTCCTCTCCTCTCCTCTCTTTCCCGAGTCTCGCAGAAGTACGAAAAGTTCTCAGCAAGTGAAGAGCAGAGAGCTGCTGTGGAGAGGCAGTCGATGCCTGGAGTCTGAGCAACGCTGTGTGCGGAGGGCTCTTGATCTGCACAGGGCCGCTGCTCACTTTGCCTGCCACTTCGACACAGCACTTGTCGTTCAAGAACACCTTGCTGGAAAAGCGCCAGTTCCGCCGCTTGCCTTGCTGACTGCAGTCGCAACAATCAGCTGGGCAGCAGGCTCACCAACCTCTTTTTCTTCTTCTTGCTCCTCTCTCTAGCATTTGCAGCAGCAGCAACAGCAACAGCAGCAGTCGCATCTGCCTCGGCAGCACCTCCAGCAACAGCAGAGGAACCCCTACCCTGTGCAGCAGGTCAATCAGTTCCAAGGTGAGAGCCCAGCAGGAAATCGTGGAGCACAAACTGCCTGCTAACGCATAGCTAGATATGAGCACTGCCGTTCTATTTACTATACTGCTAATTGACGCAGAGTTATTAATGTGGCAGGCAAGAGCAGGCAACCCAAGAGGAGATTGTCAGAGACCGAAACTCTACGTAAGGGCAGCACATCCTTTATTTGTCAGAGTCTGTCCTGTTCATATGTAAAGCTGTGATGCATTGGTAGTCACCAACTTAGATGACTTTAAAAGATCATTTTGGCAAATTCATGGAGGAGGAAGCTCTTAATGGCTGCTAGCGACAATGGCTATGTTCTGGCCCCATGGTTGTAGGCAGCAATGCTTCTGAATACAATAAGTATTGCTGGACGCCACAGGCAAGGAGAGCGCTCTGGTGCTTTGATCCTACTTGTGGGTTTCCACAGGCATCTGGTTGGGCGCTGTGCTGGACTACATGGGTCATTGGCCTCATCCAGTTGGCTTTCCTTGTGGCCTTATGCTTGCTGGCCCTGTGCTTCCCCTCTCAAACCTCCATGTGTTGAGCATCCCATTCATTTCCATGGGGTTTTCATCCTGTGTACACAAAATTCTATTGATAAAGATAATATTAAGGAGCTACAAACAGTTGAATCCCCACATTGTTTTCATCGTTTAAATTTAATCTTAGAATGTTGTCCAGTGAAGAGCCCTGTCTGCTCAAAACACAAAAATATTGTGTTGGGGGGGGGGTTCCTTGGTACCTTTCATTTACTTTTTTTTTCTTGGTGTAGCCTTAAGAGAGAAATCTAAACACATGGTCTGTAAAACAAAACACTCTCCTGGTGGTTAAAATGGTGATTTGTTATTTTGTATTATATTAAGCTGAGGGATGTGCTTCATATTGTCAATGAAAGAAAGGAAGACACTGAGATATAGTTGGTTCCTGGGTTTTTTTAACAGTCAGGTAACGCTTCACAGAAATATTATTCTTTCACAGTGGTTTCATGTATCTTTTTTCTGAGGTGAGAGCTCTGCTCTTGTCAGCAGTGTGTACTCAGCATAGTATTGAGCTGGTGCCACAATGAGCTCTTGGCATAATCAAAATTCCTCTAATTATTTTTAAATAAAGATGATAAACACCGGAGCATATTTGCTTTCCAGAAATCAATAATCCTTTCCATCCACTCCTCCCTCTACATCCCTCCTCAACAGGAAGACACCTAGTTGGGTGTATCTGCCAGGGTGTAGAATTTAACAGGCAAAGGATTTTCTGGCTTCCTGTCATTGGTCCAAAGGTGGAGCAAAACGTGCTTACAGTATTGATTTGTTAATACACCGTCTCTGTTCTAAATTTTTCTTCTTTCCATAGACATAATCAGTAACAACACTATAGAAAATCCATTCACTTATGCCTCCTAAGCTATAAAAAAATTGATTAGCCTTTCTGCGCCTGACATTTCTATTTTCATGGCTTTAGTTTTGAAAGATAATGGAAATATTTGAAAGAGTGCCTCAGATAACTAATGGTCAGGCTATGTTTGTTTGTTTGTTTTCAATTCTAAATGGCTAAATAGATTCCTAACTAATGCTTGCATTATTATGGACCTCACTGACACCTCTTTGCACTACCATTGACAGCACAATCCTTTACATGTCTACTCAGACGTACTTCCCATTGGCTTCAGTGGGAATTACCGTATTTTTCGCACCATAGGGCGCACCGGACCATAGGGCGCACCCAGTTTTTTGGGGGGAAATAAAGGAAAAAAATTTATTTCCCCCCCAGGCGCGGGGCTGGGGCGGGGGAAGCTCGAGCTTCCCCCGACCCCAGCCCCCAAACAGGCAGCTCTCTGCAAGCCGTGGGAGCCCAGCGCTGGCTCCCGCTGCTTGTGGAGAGGTCTGCGAAGCCTGGACGCGCTGAACTCAGCGCGTGCAGGCTTCGGCATGCCGGCAACTCTCCGCAAGCAGCGGGAGCGCTCCCGCTGCTTGCGGGGAGGTCCGCGAAGCCTGGACGCGCTGAGCTCAGCGCGCGCAGGCTTCGGCATGCCGGCAACTCTCCGCAAGCAGCGGGAGCGCTCCCGCTGCTTGCGGGGAGGTCCGCGAAGCCTGGATGCGCTGAGCTCAGTGCGTGCATGCTTCGGCCATGCCGGCAACTCTCCGCAAGCAGCGGGAGCGCTCCCGCTGCTTGCGGGGAGGTCCGCGAAGCCTGGACGCGCTGAGCTCAGCGCACGCAGGCTTCGGCATGCCGGCAACTCTCCGCAAGCAGCGGGAGCCCAGCGCTGGGCTCCCGCTGCTTGCGGAGAGGTGTGCGAAGCCTGGAGAGCGTGAGGGGTTGGTGCGCACCGACCCCTCTCACTCTCCAGGCTTCAGCGAAAGCCTGCATTCGCACCATAGTATGCACACACATTTCCCCTTCATTTTTGGAGGGGGAAAAGTGCATCCTATGGTGCGAAAAATACGGTACTCCTTGGTAACTGTGTACAGGATTGAAGTTTCACTGACTGCCAGGTTGGGTGCTAACTGCAATCAGACCCATATCTGGAGATAATACTAGCTTTGCAAGACAACTCAAGAAGAGCCTTCCTGGATCAGACCATAAGGCCTTCCTAGTCCAGCATCCTGATTTCCACAGCAGTCAACCAAAGGCTTATGGGAAGCTCACAGGAAGCGTATGAGCACAATAGCCATCTCCTGTTTTGTTCCCCAGTGCCTAGCATAGGAGCTACCTCCTAGGGTCCAAGATCGCTTTGCGCCCACACGTCCAATAAAATATTATTACCAAAGCTCACTTTTTAATATTTTTCCTTCTTCTGCTTCAGGTTCCCCGCAGGATATAGCGGCAGTGAGAAACCAGGCAGCTCTTCAGAGCATGAGGACTTCCCGAATGATGTCCCAGAACACCAGCCTAATGACCATGGGAGCCTCACAAAACACTGCTGCAATGTCTGCCGCAGCTGGCCAATCCGAGATGGGGATGGCTCCCTACAGCAGCCCAGCAGCTGGCCAGCCAGGAATGTACAATATGAACACAGGAATGAGCCAAATGTTGCAGCACCCAAACCAAAGTAGCATGAGCCTGGCACACAACCCAAGTCAGGGGCCGAGGCAGCCCACCTCGACACAAGGGGTTGGCATGGTCAGTAGTTTTGGTCCAAACATGTTGGTGAACTCTGCCATATCTCAACAACACCAGCAGATGAAAGGACCTGTGGGCCAGGTTCTACCCAGACCACAAGCTCCCAGACTTCAAAACATGATGGGGCCTGTCCCGCAAGGAGCACAGAACTGGCAGGCACGAGGCTTGCAAGGTATCCCTGGAAGGACTAGCGGCGAAATTGGACCTTTCAATAATGGTGCAGCTTACCCGATGCAATCTGCCCAACCAAGGTTGCCTAAGCAACACTTCCCACAAGGCATTAGTCAGTCTGTCATGGACACAAGTGGAACAGTACGGACCCTGAATCCAGCGATGGGAAGGCAAATGTTGCAACCACTCCCTGGACAACAAGGAACCAACAACCAAGCTAGACCAATGGTTATGCCTACAATAAGCCAAGCAGTTCCCACCATGGCTGGTTTTAACCAGTCCCCTGCACAACAGATACCAGGGGGTAGCTTTGCTCAGAGCAGCCAAGGTCAGATCTATGAGAGGAATCCCACTCAGGACATATCTTATAGTTACAGCAACGAAGGAGCTGGCGGTTCCTTTCCAAGTATAGCAGACAGCACAGACCTCGTAGATTCCATCATTAAAGGTGGGCCAGGAGATGAGTGGATGCAAGAACTTGATGAGCTGTTTGGAAATCCGTAGCACATGGGGATATGTATAGTTACAAACCTTTGTGGGGTCAGAAAAAAGGAAAGCAGGATGTTGTCCATCCTTGTTTCTTTGTTTTGTTTTTAAAGCTGTGCAAAGCAAGCTGATCTGTGGCTGATTGTGGAAGGCATGGATGGAATGTAAAGCATTGAACAGAAGGCCTTGCTGGTGTCCTCACAGCAGTCTCCACCCCATAGTCCGCCTGCTGCAGGTGGGAATAAGACAAAGAGAGAGGTAGGGGGCTCCAAAAATTGCTACTTGCTGCCCATGGGCTATGGAAGAAGATTGGTAGTCTCCACATGGCAAGCACTGGCTGCCCCATAACAATAAACTTTCCACCACGGTTCTACTGGAACTGCTGTAGTGTCAGGACATTGCAGAGACAGGCGCCAAGACAAAGGAAGGGGCACCTGAAAGAGAAAGAGAGGTCGGGATCAGTACAGGTGCTAAGGTTTAAGCAAATGACAAGTTTCTCAATGTAGTTATGTGTCTGATTTGATCAGGAGTCAAGCAGAGGTTATGACTAGACATGGCCGCAGATGAAAGGGTCCATTCAATGTGCTATCAAGTCTCCTTTGGGTGCAGAGAAAGTCCCCATCTACACAGTTTGCCATTCCTGTGTTTCCTGTTTCCTCTATAACCAAGTGACTCTTGAGTCACTTTTTAAGGATGAGGGAAAATACAGAGCTCTAGGACACACTAAGGCTGCAGTACTTATATTGCTCACTGAGATAGCAGCTACCAAAGACACAGATGCAAAAGAAAGCAGGCATTAAAAAGGGAGAGGTTATATGTATTAAGAACTTGCAAACAGTGGTGTCCAGCTTGTTCTTTTCCTGAAAATTCAAGATGAATAGGTGTTACCTGTGAGGGGTTGGGTTGCACAGGCAGATGTCTTTGGGAGTTAAGGGAGAGGGGCTAGTAATTCTCTTGGTGGTCTTACATAGAAATTATTTAGGAGCAGTGTCAACATGTCTTTTGACAGGTTGGAAGCAAATGTATGCTTAACATTCTCTAATGGCTGGTCCTCTTTGTCAACCTTCCTACTATGAACATGATAACACCAAGCTCTTTATGATGCCAAACTAGTTGGTGACAAACAGAATAAGGAAGGAAGGGTCTTCCATTCAGGTAATTGCTGGAAGTAGTTCTACATAAAGTTACGACATTCCAAAGGTCAATCTTCAAATGGAACTGTCTAAGCCACAGTTTTGTGTGGCTGGAACTGACCTGCAAAAAAGTGGAGTCATTTATGTTGGTGGGAGTTGAACATGATACCATTTGCCAGTGTTTTGGAATTAAACACATGTCACTTTTTCGGGCCTGATTATACATTACGTGCAAATGTGTAACCAAATTCCAGTAGTGCATTTCGTATTTCCCCTACCCCTGGGAAATCCAAATTCAGAGGCAGCATTTTTTTTACTGGAGAAACAGCAGAGAGATGGAATACTTGACCCTTTCCCCAGCCACCGTTTCCCCCATGTTCTTTAGCACACTCCAGTTTTGGTAGTGATGCCCACCCTGTGGAATGGCCTCCCATCAGATGTCAAGGAAATAAACAACTATCTGACTTTTAGAAGACACCTGAAGGCAGCCCTGTTTAGGGAAGTTTTCAATGTGTTACCATGTTTTTAATATTCTATTGGGAGCTGCCCAGAGTGGCTGGGGAGGCCCGGCTAGATGGGCGGAGTATAAGTAATAAATTATTATTATTATTTAAAATAGAGGGTGGGATGGGGTGAGGAGTAGGAGCGAGAGCAAGAGCAAACGCACATTTGGAACTCCGTAGGACAGAAGCACCTCGGATGGATGGTTTTAAAGTGGAGAAGGGTTCAATCACAACCCACACTTCACTTAAAACCACCACCTCCAGAAGCTAACTTTCCTGGAAAATGGGGAAGGGGGAGAATCACGATTCAATTACACATATTTAAATATAAGGTGCACTTGGGCCCTCATTCATTTTATCTGGTTTGTGACATGATTTTGAAACTCCCACATACTGTCTCATCATCTAACTCACTGGAATTAGTGGGAGACATATTGTTGACACCTTTGAAAGTTGGATGTCGTAAGCTAAAAGAACCACTTCATGCAACTTCCTGCTTGTGCTAACATGAAGGTTGACCAATGAGCTTGCACATCAGTGGACTTGGCATGTGGCAAAGCAGCAGCTTGCTAACAGAGAAGTGGTTTGCCATGTTCTCAGTGCACAATGTGCCAAGTCAGCACTCATCTTAGCACCAGTGGAGAATTGTGGCCTGACGATCCCAAGAAGATTTTAGTCCACAAATACTCTGAGCATAATTAGGTATCATTATATCAGCTAGTGCTGAGGACTGGAAGACCAAGAAAAAGGTTCTCTGAGTTACAGAAATCAGCTGAAGAGGTGAGAGATACAACCACCTCCTTTTAAACCTGAATAGGCATGCAAAAGCATAAGATAGGAACCAAGTATCTGTCTTCATCACTCCTCTGGGGCAGTGTCACTCTTTGCTGGAAAGGGTGACAACAAGAAGACTAAGAAGTTGGAGTTTTGAACCGCACAAAATCTAATGAGTAATGAAATTTAACATTCATCTTTATCAGAAAAGTACAGGAACTAGTGTTTGATGAGGCCTCAAAATCCATTATCTTTGAAAAGCTTCCTCCAAATATTTTGAACTGGGACCAAGTAATAAAAAGTCAAACTTTAATATCTTGGGTTTTGTTTTGTTTTTTTACTATGGTGCTGATGTATATGAAATGTTAAAAAAAAGAATTATTTGTAAATATGTTTTTACAATCCTGCAGATATCACTGGGTCTAATCTGTAAAATATATACATATAAATAAATATTATATAAATATAAATATATATATAATGTTTGTTTAAAATAGAGTATTTTTATTTCATTCTTTAACTCATCCTCACTGCAGTGGTATTGCACTTCAGATGTCTAATTACTAATTTGTACTGTATCCTTGCCAGCAACTTGCTCCATTTTATCCAGATTTTTCTAGTTTACTGTTTTTTACTTTGTACATTGAACATTGCTTATTTCCTTTTAAGAACTGTACAGAGCTCTGGAAAAAATGTAGAAAGGAACTAATAACATACCAATTTTAAAGAAAATAATAATAAAAGATTGTTATCTGAATCAGTTTAATTTTTAGGAGTTTCTCTCTTACCTGATTTGGTTGACTCTGTTTGAGGGACGCAAAAAGGTGGTGACGTTGCTCCTGTAGAAAAAACATAGAATAAACAAGAAACGGCTTTATACCAATGCAGATCATCTGTCCATCTAGCCTGCTGTTGTTTATACTGACAGTTGCATGAGTCTTTCCTGCCTGGTGAAACCAGGGAATTAAGCTAGGATCTTTTGCTTGCAAAACACACACTCTGTAAGACCCAATTCAAACTTAAAGAGGCCCATGGTACTATCCTCAACTGAGCCTGTACCCTCTCAAAACACACACAGGTAATTGCTTGTTTATAAAGGTAAAGAGACCCCTGACCATTAGGTTCAGTCGTGGCTGACTCTGGGGTTGCGGCGCTCATCTCACTTTATTGGCTGAGGGAGCCGGCGTACAGCTTCCGGGTCATGTGGCCAGCATGACTAAGCCGCTTCTGGCGAACCAGAGCAGCACACGGAAATGCCGTTTACCTTCCTGCCGGAGCGGTACCTATTTATCTACTTGCACTTTGACGTGCTTTCGAACTGCTAGGTTGGCAGGAGCAGGGACTGAGCAACAGGAGCTCACCCCGTCGCGGGGATTTGAACCGCCAACCTTCTGATCGGCAAGTCCTAGGCTCTGTGGTTTAACCCACAGCACCACCCGCGTAAGTAAGCTTGCTCAAATATTAACAGCAGTGACAGTTACTTTATAACGTAAGGAGTTCATAACAAGTGTCTTCCTATAATAAATCAAGTCTTCCATCACAGATAGCCAGCATGGTGCCCTCCAGCTGTTGTTGCACTACAATTCCCATGAGCCCCAGACAGCATGGCTAATGGTAAGGGATTATGGGATTCGTAGTCCAACTACAGCTGAAGTGCTCCATACTTTTACTCGAAAGTGCAGAAGTACTGTGTCATCACTATTTCTGCTTCTTCCTTACACAGTTTTATTTCACACAAAAATCTCTAGGAAAGGCTTATCTGACTGAGACATAAAAATATTTGCAGAACTTGCTATATATATTTAAAAACCACATATCTTAAAGCAGTCAGCACTGCAACAGCAAAATTAGCCAGCGGTGTGTGGTATAGATAGTTTCATTTTATTCGTCTAGCTTGATGGAATTTTACAGTCTGCAAGTTCAATGGGAGTTCAGACTGCTCAATAGTTCACAAAATCAGGCCTTGATTTTTTTATTGAACATTTATTGACATGTGATTAACTGCACAGGCCTGCTTTTGTTCTCCTTCCCATTTTTTTCTAACAAAGATATTAGTTCTCTCATTCCGAGCAACTACATGGCTGGTGCTGTTTCACCAGCTGATAATCAGCTTAACGTTGAAGGAAAATGACATTTAAATGGGGGAGTTTCATAAATGTAGCCCAAAAAGCTTGAGTGGAATTTCTAGTGTCTGCTCAGTTCAAAGCAACGAGAATTGCCCATTATTACATAAAGTATTTTGACATTTTCAGCTAATTATAAACTAACTGACATTTGGAGAAACTTTTGAAGAGGTACATTTATGAAATTTTCCACACAATAACCAAGAAGTTGACGTATGGCTGGCTGGCTGTGTGTGATTCTTTATCTGTGATTCCTGCATTGCAGGGGGTTGGACTAGATGGCCCTTGGAGGTCCCTTCCAACACTACAATTCTATGACTCACTGTCAAGAAAAGTATGGTCACTGCCTTACTCCCTAAATTTTCTTCCTGAGATTTCAAATAAGCCAGGGATCCAGTGCTTTAAACGCCACTGAACATTCAAAAGAACGATCACTAATCCAGAAATATTAGCCAAATTGGAAGGTATTAGACAAAGCAAATGCCTTGTACATGTAGCATAAAGTAATCAAAATATTCTATATTTTGTCTCCTTGGTTTCTGGATTGATTATTTATTTATTTATTTATTTATTTAAATTATTATTCTGTACCATATACATTTCAGAAGCCAGTGAAATGTATTTATGCTATCTTAAAGCATACATGCATTTCAAATAGCCTCTTGCTGCATGGATGAAAGTTTTTTTAAACAAAACAAAACAAAAAACCTCAGGAATGTTGTACATTTTGCATTGCAAGGGAAAGCTAGTGAAGAAATTTGCCTGCTTGTAACTTGATCCACACAGCTTATTCATCTGATGCCCAAGAGACACATATAATTTATTTACACATAGGAATAATCTTTAGATCAGTTTACAAAGTTTGTTTCGACTAACCAACAATCTGCAATCCAAGCAGCAGCTATTAAGACTATAAAAATGATCCAATTCAAATAAAAAAAAAATTGACCTAAAAGTTAGTCATGAAAGGAGGAGAAAAGGATTGCATGTCCCACAAGCAGGCAAAATAAATATGGCAGCTACAGAAAAAAGTCACTTGAGAATTGTGTTTCATAAATAGTTTTCCTTTCATCTGATAGTGTTAGATTTCCCTTCTTGCATATGTTGGCAAGCTGACTTTCAGAGAGAGATTGCCTACCATTAATTAATATCTAGCTGAGGGATTCCTGATCAGATCCTGGGGAACTTCAGAGTTCTCTGGAGTACAGGTTGCACATCACTGATGAAAAAAGCTATTTTGTAATGAGTCCACTGAAATACCAGTCTAACCTTATGTTGCCAGTTCTGCCTTCCAGCAAACGCCAGTTCTAGAGCTTTAACCAGATAGTTGGCACTCAGCCTAGGAGACCACCAGGAGAAGCAGGAGGCCTCACCCAACTGAGTACAACACAGTAGAGCAGGCATAGGCAAACTCAGTCCTCCAGATCAGCCTTCCTCAACCTATGGGTCCCCAGATGTTGTTGAACTACAACTCCCATCACCCCTAGCTAGCAAGGCCAGAGCTCAGGGATGATGGGAGCTATAGTCCAACAACATCTGGGGACCCACAGGTTGAGAGCCATTGCTCCAGATGTTTTGGGACTACAGCTACCATCATCCCTGGCCACTGGTCCTGTTAGCTAGGGATGATGGGAGTTGTAGTCCCAAAACATCTGGAGGGCCAAGTTTGCCTATGCCTGCACTAGAGAGAAAGATTCAGTGGCAATAATACTGAAACCGTGAATTGTGAGGGATCTTACAAGTTACCGGTATATAGTCCAACCCCCTGTACAATGCACAATGCAGCTATATCATCCCTGACTGGTAGATGGCTGTCTACCACCCACCTGCCAAGGCAGTCTGCTCTACTGCTGAACAGCTGTTGCCATTTTGGTCATCTGCATACTATCCCTTGATTTTTCCTGTAGGACTAATTGCAGTCATTAACAGTCTTCAACAGGTTTACCATACCCATTGAGTCAATCACCTATCTCCTACTACCCTTCTGAGAAAAACCCCACCCTCCCACTATATATAAGGGTCTGGTGACTTCTGTTTCAGTGTATCTGAAGAAGTGTGCATGCACACGAAAGCTTATACCAAGAACAAACTTAGCTGGTCTCTAAGGTGCCACTGGACAATTTTTAATTTATTTCGACTGAGTCAGACCGACACGGCTACCTACCGTACCTTAGTTCATATCTCTCTCTCTCTCTCTCTCTCTCTCTCTCTCTCCCCCCCCCCCAAAGGGCATTATAATATCTCCAAATATATAATAGTCTCCAAAGGGCATTATAATATCCCTTCACATCTCTTGATCTCAACACTTTTCATGATCAGACCAGTGCTTTTTTTTCTAAAAGAATGTTTAGGGATACTCTCATTTTCCTACTCATATTGAAATACTGCCCCTCAATGAAGTCAAACATAGATTCACAAAATGTTTAGGGGTATGCGTACCCCTGTGTTCCCCCAGAAAAAAACGCACTGGATCAGCCCATTCAATGCAATGTCTTTCAAACATTAGTCTGGAGTCTTCAATATGAACTTGTGGTGTTCTTTACCTTTCTGTCATGGATTCTGGATATTCAGGGAGGTATTTATGACATCAAAACATATACAGGAGACCCAGAGAAAAGAGTTTAGATGAGGGGAAAGAAAAAGTAGCCATTAAAAGAAAAAAGGAAAAAGGAAGTCATCCGCAATCTATTTATTTAAACTTAGTTGTGTGTGTTCTTTGTCATTTACCTTAAACAGATCAATTCATTATTTTCATTCAGTTGTTTTCACCCACTTTTGCTGCCGATAGATCCAGGAGACAACTTACAGCAACAAACAATAAGAACTTCTCTTTACAGCAATCCAAAAACAATCTTTAAAACAGTTCAGGTTAAAACGTATAACAGAAAGTAGCCAGGGAATATATAGTGAACAGAATTAAAATTGTCCTCCATGGGCCTATTTAAATAAAAAATACAGGGACAGCTATTTAAAAGAAGATTAAAAAAAAAAATGTTATGACTACTTTGGTTGAAAAAACCCAGCTATGCACAAAGTCATTTGGAAGACAAGGTAAAATGCTGATTAGTTTTGTCTACAGGAGCAGTATTAAGGAAAGCAAGCTGGGCACATATTTATTCTTTCAGAAATTTATAATCTGCCCTTCCTTCACTTTTACCAGGGCTGTTCACAATAATGAAGGCAACCAAAAGAAAACACTAAAACCACTGCAACCATTCAGTAAATATGATTAACACAACAGAACATTACAAACTAATGCAAGAGATATTGGATAGGACTGAGCAAATAAAGTCTTTTTGCTTGGCTCTTCAAATACACAGCCATGAGCACCAGCTGTACTTTTCTGGGGAGGGTGTTCTATAGACCGGGGGCCACAACCAAAAATGCCCTCTCACCATTTGCATCAGACTCACCTTTGAAAGTGAGAGCACCTCCAGAAGATGGCTTCTGCCTATGGTCGGGCTCACAGCTTTGTGATGGGTCATTCACACATGGAAAGGCTGTGCAGTTGTTCCACTGTGTTTTGTTTTAAAACCTGAGCTCTGAAAAACAAGCAGAAATGGAGAAGGGGTAAAGATGTATTACTCATGACATCGTGCAGATGCCCTGTAAAAAGTGACTGAACAAATTCTGGCTATAATAATAGCTTTTAGTTGCAAGCATGGAAGTTACAGAGAAGCAGCCCGAGTTACGTTTTGCATTTCAATGACCTTAGTGGATGTTCTGGAGACCCACAGACAGTTGGTGGCCTGGTCATGTACTTCATTCTTAGCCTTCCTGTGAGTAAGGCAAAGGGAGCTATAAATAAAGTGAAGTCCAGGGGATGACCAGATTCACATGCCCTCTGTGCTAAAAGAAAAATTAAAGTTCTGCACTGAGAAAAACAGTGGACTTTGAAAGGTCCCAAAGTTTGGTGTACCGGTTCTGGGTACTGATAATTAGTTATAAACAAGCAGGTGGAGACTTTCACCCTCAACAGGCCTTCACATGAGGAAAGGTTTGATGACAGCTATGAACCAATAGGCAAAAGGAATTCGCTCCTGGCTGCAGGAAGTTGCCCTATATAGAATCAGGCATTGGTCCATCTACCCACTGCCATTAATCTGAGAGCAGCTCTTTAGGATCCCAGCAGCCTTCTATAGGCAAGCTACTATTATTCAATTGAGCTATCACAGCATCTCCTCAGTTCCATGTGGCAGCACCCTAAAATGTACAGTCCCGCCTTTACTGCCTGACAAGTCTGAACTGAATGAATGGGCTAATAATAATTCTTTGGGCTGGTGGAAATATTACAGCTCTGCTGCAAATGCCACTTCTCATTGCTCCACATGGCAGCTGTCGCCACATGGTAAGGTGTTAACACGCAACAGAAGAAAACAGATGGGGCAATGACTCTACACCCTTGTAAAAGGACAATTTTAGGAGGGGAAACACCAGAAATCAGGGGACATATTAAATGCCTGCTCACGGCTGCAAACCAACAGTTTCTACCTGATGACAGCCATCAATGGTCATGGCCTCTGGGGGGGTGGGGAAGAGATGTTACATGGTCATTCACTGGCCCTTCCAGCTCCCCTGGGGCTTTTGTTCAGAATGTATTTTTTAAAAGCCCATTTCCTTAGCAGAGCTCACTTGCTGAAAATCCACCTACTGCTGTGATTCGTTTCTTCTCCCAGCGTTTTCTGCTTGGTTTAATCCCTTCTTGTAATGCACGCAGATGGTTCTGGTAGGCTAGCAGCTTGTCTTGCTTCACCGTCCTACTATAGTGTCTATTGCTAGGTGTTCCAGAGGTCACATTGCCCAACTGCTCATTCCCAGGACATATGCTGAGTGGGGAAGGATATTATAGGTGCTTTGTAGCTATGTGTCTTGTGGGAGCATAGAATCATAGAATCATAGAATCATAGAATCATAGAATCATAGAGTTGGAAGAGACCACAAGGGCCATCGAGTCCAACCCCCTGCCAAGCAGGAAACACCATCAGAGCACTCCTGACATATGGTTGTCAAGCCTCTGCTTAAAGACCTCCAAAGAAGGAGACTCCACCACACTCCTTGGCAGCAAATTCCACTGTCGAACAGCTCTTACTGTCAGGAAGTTCTTCCTAATGTTTAGGTGGAATCTTCTTTCTTGTAGTTTGGATCCATTGCTCCGTGTCCGCTTCTCTGGAGCAGCAGAAAACAGCCTTTCTCCCTCCTCTATGTGACATCCTTTTATATATTTGTACATGGCTATCATATCACCCCGTAACCTCCTCTTCTCCAGGCTAAACATGCCCAGCTCCCTTAGCCGTTCCTCATAAGGCATCGTTTCCAGGCCTTTGACCATTTTGGTTGCCCTCCTCTGGACACGTTCGAGTTTGTCAGTGTCCTTCTTGAACTGTGGTGCCCAGAACTGGACACAGTACTCCAGGTGAGGTCTGACCAGAGCAGAATATAGTGGCACTATTACTTCCCTTGATCTAGATGCTATACTCCTATTGATGAGGCCCAGAATTGCATTGGCTTTTTTAGCTGCCGCGTCACATTGTTGGCTCATGTCAAGTTTGTGGTCAACCAAGACTCCTAGATCCTTTTCACATGTACTGCTCTCAAGCCAGGTGTCCCCCATCTTGTATTTGTGCCTCTCATTTTTTTTGCCCAAGTGCAATACTTTACATTTCTCCCTGTTAAAATTCATCTTGTTTGTTTTGGCCCAGTTCTCTAATCTGTCAAGGTCGTTTTGAAGTGTGATCCTGTCCTCTGGGGTGTTAGTCACCCCTCCCAGTTTGGTGTCATCTGCAAATTTGATCAGGATGCCCTTGAGTCCATCATCCAAGTCGTTGATAAAGATGTTGAATAAGACCGGGCCCAAGACAGAACCCTGTGGCACCCCACTAGTCACTCTTCTCCAGGATGAAGAGGAACCATTGATGAGCACCCTTTGGGTTCGGTCAGTCAGCCAGTTACAAATCCACTGAGTGGTAGCATAGTCAAGACCGCATTTTACCAGCTTCTTTACAAGAATATCATGGGGCACCTTGTCAAATGCCTTGCTGAAATCAAGGTAGACTACATCCACTGCGTTCCCTTCATCTACCAGGCTTGTAATTCTGTCAAAAAACGAGATCAGGTTAGTCTGACATGACTTATTTTTCAGAAATCCATGCTGACTATTGGTGATCACCGCATTCCTTTCTAGGTGCTCACAGACTGTTTGCTTAATGATCTGCTCCAGAATCTTCCCTGGTATTGATGTCAGACTGACTGGGCGGTAATTATTTGGGTCCTCTCTTTTCCCCTTTTTGAAAATAGGGACAACATTTGCCCTCCTCCAGTCTGCCGGGACTTCGCCTGTTCTCCAGGAATTCTCAAAGATGACTGCCAGTGGTTCTGAAATCACATCTGCCAGTTCTTTTAATACTCTTGGATGCAGTTCATCTGGCCCTGGAGACTTGAATACATCTAGACTAGCCAAGTATTCTTGTACTATCTCCTTAGTTATTCTGGGTTGTGTTTCCTCTGCTGAATCATTTGCTCCAAGAATTCAGGGAGCAGCCGAATAAGCAGATCATGGGCCATGAGTAGTCTCAAACACATTTAAAAGCCTATGATCCTCCAACTGAATGTGCCATAATAAAGTCATTGGAACCAGCTGAACCAGTGATGGAGGCTTCGAATACTGTTCTGACAAGTTTAGTATAGTACAGAAAGTTTGAGGAAGACAGGGTTTTCCTGACTTGCCTAAAGAAAACCCCCACACAATTATTTAAGATGTTTGCCCAAAAGATGTTGTATTATTAAAACAAACATGGCGAAACAACCAGAGGAATCCAAATTCACACAATGGCACATCTCTATGTGAAATTGATTTCCAATTATTTCATTTAAATTGCATGAACAAAGTTTGCTTAAAATTGACAGAGACCAGACCAACAGTTAAGTTAATGAAATCAAGCTGAACATGAAGCGTTTTCTTTACTATTAGATAAATGATAGCCAGCCCCATCAGTATGCATGATACCTTCAAGAATGAAGCACAAAATGGAATCATAGGATTGTAGAGTTGGAAGGGAGCCCAAGGGCCATGTAGTCCTGCAATTCAGGAATCTTTTTGCCCAAGGTGGGGCTCAAACCCACAACCCTGAGATCAAGAGTCTCGTGCTCTAATGACAGAGCTATTTTCTGGATAGCGCTTGGAAAGTTTTGGACATTTCCAGGCAGCTGGTAGTATGTTAAAAACACTTAGAATCAGAACCACCTCTGAGTCTCCCATGCACCCTGGAAGTGGCTGTCTAGCAAATTACCTGCTAGTAGTAGTGGCGGCAAGCAGTGACAGACATCCAATCTGGAATAGGCAGCTGCAAGTCTGCCATTTAAATTACCCCCAACATAGTGTCACTCATGCCACTGTTGGCAAATAAATAAATAAATAAATAAATAAAATTATTTATACCCCGCCCTCCCCGGCCAGGGCCAGGCTCAGCACGGCTAACACCAAATATGAATTTCAATAAAACGTAATGGGGGCGGGAACCAACAACAACAAACAGTTAATTAAAATATGGCTTAAAATGGAGCTTAAAATACAGTGGTACCTCGGGTTACAGACACTTCAGGTTACAGACGCTTCTGGTTACAGACTCTGCTAACCCAGAAATGGTTCCTCGGGTTAAGAACTTTGCTTCAGGATGAGAACAGAAATTGTGCTCTGGTGGCGCGACGGCAGCAGCGGGAGGCCCCGTTAGCTAAAGTGGTACCTCAGGTTAAGAACAGTTTCAGGTTAAGAACGGACCTCCAGAACGAATTAAGTTCTTAACCTGAGGTACCACTGTACAGCTTCAAATGCAGCCTCATTGTAGTAGTAGCCCATAAATCAAGACCATAAAGGGAGGAAACATCAGATATTCACCCGATCCAGCTATCCATGCTGGTTCTACATGGGCCAGCAAAAAAGCCAAGGGAAAATTTATATATCAAATATCATATAAGGGAAACAAAATTAAAAAAAATTCTTCCAGTAGCACCTTAGAGACCAACTAAGTTTGTTATTGGTATGAGCTTTTGTGTGCATACACACTTCTTCAGATGAGTCTAAGCCGAAGGCCAGGTGGAACAGCTCTGTCTTGCAGGCCCTGCAGAAAGATGTGAAATCCCGCAGGGCCCTAGTCTCTTGTGACAAGAGTGTTTCACCACGTCGGGGCCAGTGCTGAAAAGGCCCTGGTTCTAGTTGAAACCAATCTAACCTCCTTGAGGCTTGGGACCTCCAAAATGCTGTTATTTATGGACCTTAAGGTCCTCCGCGGGGCATACAAGGAGAGGCGGTCCCTTAGGACCCAGGAGTAAGAGTTGTGATTTTAATTTTCCACATGCCCCAAAGTGACATCATGCCACAGGCATTGTGGGTAATTAAAATGGCAGGTGGGTCACAGACCCAGCCAGCCGGCGTGGGGCACAGGGTCAGGGCCAGCAGCAGACCCAAGAGAAGGATGGAAGGATCTATCAATTTCGGTTCTCTCAATTTCTCAATTTCTCCTCAGACCATTAACCCAAGATAACTAGA